AATAACACTAATAGTAAAATCTTCCATTCACGACAAATATACAACATTTCAATCTTCAACTCAGAATCACCTCAACTCACTCTTTCTATCAATTTCCTCGAAACAGATTAAAAAGAAAATGATCCACATATCTGTTCCTTCATAAATAATTAAATAAGGTCATTATTAGGCAAATCCGCAGAAAATAATCTGAAACATTTAATTTACTAGATGTGCTATTGTGCAGTTGCAAATGAAGAAAAAGAATAAAAATAAAATATCTTTTTGGAGCTTTCCCTGTGTATATTCCATTAAAGCAAAATCTAATATACATGGTGTTTTGTAATTGCACGGCATTATTTTAGGTATGCGATCACTTACAATTTTTTGCCAAGGATTATTGCGGCCTCCATTAGTACTACCTAAACTTAGTACGACCTCTAATGATAAAAATATTCTCCACCTATGCAATGTATGAAGAAAGGATGGAGGTTATTTGAAATGCTAAGGACCTTTATCCATACATTTTCTGAACCGACAAATCTAAATTCGAAGTTGCCCATTTGCGGAGTACGACATGGTAGAAAAAAAGCCAAGATATATCCTCAATAAAACCTAAAGACAAAGCTAAAGCTGGACTATTTATCTAGAAGCCAGTTGGCTAATCCTTCGCTCTGTCTTCCCTTCCTTGGTCGCTATATACCCCAGTTGTCTAGACAGTCTCTCCAATAAACATGTCTCATTCGTCTGAGGCTAACTGTGTCCATTCCCAAACGGAGAAATTACTTCTATATATATCCCGGGCTGGGCTTTATAAAAAGAGCTTTACTAGAGAAAAAATGTAGGCCCATAAAAATCATGAAAAAGTTCTTGGGTCCTTAATGGCCGATAATAAAAAATGGCCCGCAAAGTCACTGAAGTTTGAAATTATTGTTTTACGTAAAAATCCAGAACGTATGTTGTAAATAATTTCCTGATTTCTTTTTTCTATTGGCATTACAGATCTGGTAGATTTTTTGCTGCCTTAAGCAGCCTCCGACTATTTCTTTCTAGTTATCTCCAACTAGAAACCTTTTGCACTATCATTATTGGTTTATACGTAAAAGGAAAAATTCAACATTTTGTTTGTTCAGAATTAACTGTAATATAAAAATGTGTGTGAAGTTTACACAACTTTGATATTTAAGGATGAAATAGAGACCACGACAAGCTAGCAGAACTTCCATAGTAATAAACACAATCACAAATAAGAATTTTGTTTTTATACAAATTCAGAGTAAAAATATAACTTTTGGAATCGACCAAACAATACGGTATAAATTAACTTTTTGAATAAAACCTAACATTTTATAACCCCATAAAAATATCGTTTTAACCTAATTAACGCATGTTCGATTTGGCTCATATTTGAAGGGAAGTTAGGGATTGAAAAACAAATAATCAAGTTGTTATGAATCCTAAAAAAAACTTTTGCTATCGGATCAGTAAACGTATTATTTGAAAAGCCTATAGTTTAAAAGTTGCGTGTTGAATTTGAACTAAACTTGAAGGAATTTTGGAGAATAGTATAGAAATTATCTAGTATGAATTTCATTTAATAATTAAAATTAATATAAATAATTGTTAACAATATATAGGGGACCCTACACGGTAATTCATGAATGAACGTCACAAGAAGTTCCAAGATTGCCCGCTATCGCTTTGATCTTGAAGACCCTTACACGTTCAATCATTACTGATCATTACTTATGTGAAGTTTCCACTTTTTTTTCTCTCCAATTTATTGTCTACTTGACTTTTTAAAGAAAAAATAGTTGAAAATGGTTAATAATAACATAGACTTTTAGTTAATAATAACAACTATTTACTTTTATGAAATTATTTACTTAATAACGAGACTTAGGTAAACTAACCTATCTAGTAGTAAGGTTAGTCTCATAGAAAACCTAACCTAGCCTATCACTTCTCGTGAATGAACCTTTGATTTCCGGATGTTCGGAAATCCGCAGCGCACCACCATCAGTACTTCATTCACTACCTTACACGACAATTCGGAACGTCATTAGTGCAATTCCGATTGACTGTGTACGATTCCCTTAATGGCAGCGAAATGTGAAAGGCGCTGATCATATGGAGTGGGAGCCATATGATCAGTGCCTTTTTTGCTGCCTTAAGCAACCTTTGACTATTTCTTTATTGTTATCTCCAAGCAGCTCTACAGTATTTTTGTTTATTCGACTTAACTATATGTTTTTTTTTCTTCTTTTTTTTCTCTTTTACATGGTATCTTGCCAACTATTGAGACATTCATTCTTGTATAGATGCTTCCTGAAGGATTGCTTCAAGCTACATGCCCCACCCATCTTAACTCCTCCCCTTCATCATATCAGAAGGTTTATAACCTTTATGGTGCGAAAGATTTTTCTCTAAAATCTTTCTAGCCAACTCAGCTAGACAATAAGATCCTCCACAAGTAACAATAATTAAGACCACCCTCAGCGAAGCCCGGACTCATCTCGCGTAAAAAAAGTAATGGTCAGCTATCAATACATTATTAACATTTCCGAGTATCTGGAATAATTTTTTTAAACTAATCATAAATGCCATGTCTCGGAGATGAATAGTATGGCCGCTTGGCCAGGGAATGGCGGCGTCACAATGAGATGACAGCTCTCGTATAAGATAGCGACTTCGAGGAGGAGATGAAAGCTAGGCCTGCTGAGGACAGCGATAAGGCTGGAACCACTATCTCGTCCCCATTATATTGCTACTTAATCTCCACTAAATGGCTCCCTCCGTCACCCGAGGCCTTATTTTTATCTCCCTGTTTACGTTTATGAATTCTACAGCCACGCCAGACATCATATAAGTGAAATTTCACGACTTCAGTTATGGGAATGACATAATTATTTTTCAGGTCAGTTCACACCGCCGCACGAGACAGCATACCGACATTTTATAAAAACGTCTGCCAAGCCAGGTCGGTATAGCTCACTCACCGTTTTCATTTACTACAAAATATCTATATGACAAGGTATAACATTTTTCGTATGAGAATAAAATCTCTGAGAAAAGCAGTTTTCAGAAATTCAGTAATCCCTCAACTTATACGGGTTTGATAGTTTTGTTCATTGAGTTTTGCATTTGTAGATTGCATATTTGGTGATTCGTGATTTTAAAAAAAATCAAGTGCATACTGAACATTAATATCACTAGTGTCAGTACAAAAGACCGTATTGAATTTTGTGCAGGAGAGCATAGAAACTAATTGTTTCTTCATGATTTATTAGTATAATTTCATATTGTATTGCTCTCTGCTATTTTCCATTGTAGCAGACTGCTTATATCAGTTGCAGACAAAAAAAAAAAAGTCACCTATAACACAAATAGAATAAAAGTTGAAATTATTTACATCCGATCTTTTGCACAAACAGTAGTGATATATACTTAACAGAGAAATTCAACGTTTTGTTTGTTCGTAATTAACTGTATTACAAAAATATGTGTGAAGTTCACACAACTTTGATATTTAAGAATGAAATCGAGATATATTAATTTTAATTATTAAATGGAATTCAATGAAATTCATACTAGATTATGTCTATACTATTCTTCAAAATTCTTCCAAGTTTGGTTCAAATTGAACAAGTAGTTTTTAAACTATAGGCTTTTCAAAAAATATGTTTACTGATCCGAAAGAAAAAGTTTTTTAAAGATTCATACCTACTTGATTATTTGTTTACCAATCCCTAACTTTTCTCCAAATTTGAGCCAAATCGCACATGCGGTTTTAAAGATAAAGACATATCAAAGAAAACACGTTTGTGCATATATAGCAGAAATTAGTGAACAGAAATTAGTAAAATTGACGTTACGTTATTTTTTTACCATTACCTACCTTTTATCCAACTCTGAGCCAAATCGAACTAGACATTTCTGAAATATTGGCATATCTAAAAAAGTATGTATGCGCGTGGGAAGTGCTTCATGGAATTTGATTAAATTAATATGAGACCATCTCGCACAACTCCTGAAAATTTCATGAAAATCGGATGAAAGGTACTATGCACTAGGTGATTATGCCCTTCACATCGATTTGACTACAGACAGACAGACATCGAACCAACTTTAATCCTCGATGACTGAAACGTAAAACGCGAGTGAAAATTTTCGATTCTGAGCACAAAAAAATGTTTAACCTGTCGCACTAACACAATACTTTCCTACCTTCGGTAGTGAGGAAGCAAAAGTAAAAGGTATTGGATAAACTCGTAAATACAGATTTGCTTTCTACTTGGATCGTAAGATAATTTGATCACAAAACAGATAAAAAAGAAGACCTACAAAAATATTGGACCGTTTGTCCTATATAAACTCGTTATTTTGAAATTTTGGGGATGTAGGTCAAGTCAAACGGCTTAATATTTTTGTAGGCCACCTTTTTTCTCGAGTACTCGAAATTATCTTACGATCCAAGTAGAAAGCAAATTTTTATTTAAGAGTTTTTAGTACCTAATTAAATTGGCAAAGTTGGCCCCTCTCCAGATTGAAAATGCCCCAATTGCAGGAGCTTTCATAAATAAAATAGTTGTAGGTTACAAAGAGATGAAACTATTTACGAAGTTTCAGGCGGACGTTAATAATTCGATAAACAGAGGTCTGTACCACGAACTAAACATATTTAATAAGAATGTTTCCGATCAGCAGCAGAAAACAGTAAAAGTGTAGTCAAGGCGATGGCCGCTTAAGGTTGTTAGACATAGGCGGGCACAAGTCACAGTGGTGCCCGCGAGCTCTGGGTTGGGAACCCCCTGCTCTAGCTTAATGCAACGGTAGACGGCACCAACATGTTAAATATATTAAACAATAGTATTCTTAAATTGTTTTTCATATTATAATATACTCAATAGAAATACTTGGATTTAAAAAAATACACACTGAATTTTACAATCACTATTTTTTACTGCTTCCTCAATACTTAATATTCTTTTTTCCAAATAGGTCTACCGATGTCTGCTCAGACAGAAGTGCCATCAGGATGAAAGGCCTTCCTGCGCATCCCAGGTTTCACAGCAGCCTGATAACAGTGAGGGAGCAGCAACAATCGCATGCCCAGCCAAAGCCAAACAAGGTTCATCAGTGGAGGATACAAAGGCAGGTTTGGGAGCAAGTTAAAACAACAACCCCTACACAATCTAATGAAAGGCGGTCCACACTCGACACTGTCCAATTTATAACCTTTGAAATTCTTGTTTTACAAAACAAATTTGATATTTTGAAAATATAACTGTAACAAAATTGTTCCTGGGTCTCAATTCCCTGACTGTCAGACCGACAAATACATCTAAAAAGTTGTTTTTTTATTATTAAAACTTTAGAATATTTTTTTAAAAATAAGTCCAAGTCCATTATAATTTATATTTGTATTATATAAAGTTATCGGAGGCGCATTTTAGGAAAATACAAACGATTTTAAAATCCCAAGTTCAATTCATTTTAACAGTACACAGGAAATGTGTAAGACAAGTGTGAGGACTCTAAAAATAAATCATAATGTTATAGATATTTTTTTTTATTTATTTATCTCAATAAACAATCTGTCACTTGGACATTAGTTATAGTGAGGTAGAATAACATTCACACTATATAAAATAACATCACAGAAAAATATAAAACAAAAAGAAGCAAAATAACAATAAATAATAATCAAAAAGTATATATAATAAATAAAATAAAATGACAAAAATAAGAAAACTAAAACATAGCAAAAACACATGCATACCTACATACACTATACATGGTTATTTAATGATACAAAACTTCAAATTCCGAAATATGAGCATTTTTCATCATGTGATATACATTTTTAACCGTTATTCACTTAAAATCTTGGTTAATCTTACAACGATAGGTAGCATTTGACTTACAGTCCGTGGTGCAGACACTGTTTTTACAAACTACAAATATCCGCCAAAAATTTCTTGAAGAGCTTCATCTCATAGTAACCTACAGCTTTTTTATTAAGTAAGATTCTCGGAATCGGGGGGTTTTCAATGTGAAGACCGGCGAATTTTTGTCTGCTTAATTAGGTACTAAAAATTCACGAACGCCTACTTGAATGCCATGTTTTCCACTTGAATCATAAGATAATTGTATCACGAAATCGAGAAAAACGTGACCTACACAAATATTAGGCCATTAGATGTGACCTACACAAATATTGGGCCATTAGATGTGACCTTCACCTCCAATACGTCAAAATAACGAGGTTATATAGACTTAAGGGCCCATTATTTTTGAAGACATACTTTTTTTTTCGATTATGTGATCGAATTATCTTACGATTCAAGAGGAAAGGAAATGAGTATTTATACGTTTTTACGTATAAGTACCTCATTAAGTTAATTAATTTCATGAGAAAACGCCCCGTTTTGATAAAATAAAATTATTCACGAAGTTTTAGACAGATGTTAATAATTTGATAAAATAATTTTTATCATGGAATATTATCATAACTCACTTTCTCACGAATTTAACCCTTGATATCAGTTAAAGAGAAACACAACATAACAAAAAATTCTTATTTCTAAATTTTCTCCCGAAACCTCACAGTTTCTGACTTAATATCTACTTCTAACATATAAGATACCTTCGATATTTAGATTCATGATAGATTAACGTAGACGCAAATATATACTAATAATTTAAATACCTTGCATGAATGAATGGTAGTGTTTTTATTAAAGCGCTTTAAATTAAACTGTTTTCATAAATCCGAAAATAAACAACAAATCGATACTCAATAAAACAATCTAAAATTTATGTAATAGGCTTTAGAAGAATTTAAATACTTGCAGCGGTATATGAAAACTCCTTTTAATTGAGATTACAAGTTAATTAAATTATAATAAATTAAAATCAACAAATAAAAAATAAACGTATGTTGTGATGTCAATAGTATGTCTGTTATCTTATATTACTGCAATACAAATTGACTGATTAATATTTTTAATGAAAGTGCAGGTTAACGTTTATTTAGTTCCTGTCACACATACTCCTTTGCTCCTAGAGTACTATAATATGAAATAATCGCTTACCATTAGTAAATGACGTTTAATCTTCGGCTGCCACATATACCTAAAACAAAAACAAAAATTACTATGTAAATATATAGTTCATAGTTATCAATCATATTTATAAATCTAAACATGATTAAACAAACAAAAAACAGTATGACTAGTCATCTTATTTATTATATATTATTTTATTTATATTTTACTAGATTAAATCGATTTGAAGTTGAGATATTGTCGAGAGAACCAAATATAACAGATTTGAAGAAACAATAATTTATATAATGATAATGTGATTGCGAATTTTATATAAAATTCACTCTTCACTATTTATTATTAAGTTTAACAATTTTTCCCCTTATTCTTAATATTACAGAAGACTTGTTTTAATTTGGTTTCGATAATTATAGCCACGAAAAAGAAATCCACTCAAACCTAAATCAATACATCCAGTTTTTAATTTTTTTTACATCTTGTTTTTAACTGGGATCTCTAGACAAATTACTCAAGAATTCTAAACTTTGGTTCTACTCAAAATTTTGTTTTCATTTAAAGCCTATTTAATCAAGCAAATCTAAATATAATGTCGAAATTTCAAAAGTCTGCTATTAGCCATTGCTGAGATTACACCTGAAAAAATTTGGTTGGACAATGCGAACATACAGACAGACAAAAAATTGTTTAAAAGTGGATTTGGTGTCTGTAATGTATGAAAAGGAAAGATATCATGCAGAGGGTTGATTCTATTCAATGTACAGACAAAACCTTTATTTTATTTATACAGATTGGCAAATTTTTAACATGAAAAGATACTTATTTGTGAAATTCACTGTAATATTCTTTTGAGCCGGTTTTGGAGCTTAACTTGCAGATAAATCCCCTATCAGTTTCCTGATATATATATATATATATATATATATATATATATATATATATATATAATTTTAAATATTAAAACAATACTAAAATACTGGACACGATACTAAAAACTACAAACCTTACTTCAAAGAAAAAAAAATCAATTATGGTAATGATAGACCATATAGCACATATTTCGTTTTATCTTAACCCTTGCAATTCCAAAATTGAAATTAGTCATTTCGCGGACCAATGCAGATTCTTAGGGATAATCTGAGCGGTTTCAAAATCGATTAAAGAGTAGAAGCTGTGTAAAAGTTCTATGGCAGTTTTATCATAAGCCTTTACTCCGTTCTAAGTTACAATTAGTATTATCCCTGAAGTTTGTAACTGGAATTATTTAAATAAGACTAAGTCGGAAAACTTTTAATCCGGCCCTTTCATTTAGTTACTTTTCAACAATCCTCTGTTGCAACCAATCTGGCTTCTTATAAGGACTTCTTCATTTCCTAGAACTCTTGGATATTACTAAATGTATTATTATAAGTATAATATCCTCCAAGAAGTAATTATTATTTATAAAAGGGCAGAAAAGAAAGAGTCGGATGAGGATGATCATGGGGGGACCTCTGTCGTAATGAATCATTAGATCTAAAGGCTATGACATTTAGGCATAATGGAGGATGATGCACCTTTTAGCCAACGAAGCTTCTATACTTTTGATATATGTCATTATTTACAACAACAAGTGAAAATGCGAATAATAGTCTAACACGATTCTGTTTCATTGTGATATTAATTAGTAAATTCTTTATTGTCTTAAGCCTTAAGGCCCTTACTTACAGACTAAAGTACAATAACAGTTAAATTTTTAGCTTAAAAATTCGCATTAAAATCTTCGATTTGGCTGTCTGGTGTACGGCGGATTCTCGGTACTCTAACTCGAGGCCAAACTTAAACGCCTAATGAATTGAGCAATACGTTGAGTTTTCGGAATCTCAAGAGATACACATATAACGCAGATACACACCAAGTTGAAGTGTCTCAATCCATCCACCCGCCGTCTGTACTTCCTTGCTACCTTTCTATACCATCAGGACTCAGCGACCATCTATATTTTTCACAGCCTAAATTTAAATATTCCATTCAATCCCGTCCCACTAGATCCCGTATTTCCGACTTATATCCACATCCTCACCGAACTGCTGAGTTTGACAAATCCTTTATAATTCAAGCCGTCTCCTTCTGGAATACCATCCCTCTCGGTATCCGATATGCACAATCAGTTTCTTCATTCAAATCTCTCTTTTTTAAGCACCTACTCCTTTCCCAACCCAATTGATCACGAAATGTAAGTAAGAGAACTTTTTAAGTTCACCCAAAAATGATTTTGTTCACATATGTTATTTTATTTTCCCATGTTTGTTTTATATAGATCTGTCAGTTTTTAGTATTTTTTTTTCTTTTCTCTTCTTCCAATATTTTAACTTTAATGGGATTTATAAATATATAATTTAATCTACGGTCACACAGGCGTTTCTTATGTAACTATAATTTGTCCTATAGGGGCAGCAGCCCCAGGATAATAATACACACTCGGGCTTGAGTGGAGGATCTGGCCATTGCCAAAACTCCAATAGATGCTTATTTACAAAAGGTCTCTGGGCCACTGCCGCTTCAACCTTCGAGGAGGATTGTAAGGATGGGTGGTGCTGGATAGAGATTGTGCAAGGGGATTTGGATGATAGGTAAGGTTTTGGTGAAATTTGGAGAATTTTTCTGGAATAAGGTCTAGGACAAATGGGATATTAAGGTCATGGTGTAGGATTTTGTTATTTACATAGAACGGAGCATCAACTATTGTTCGAAGGACTTTAGATTGAAAGGATTGAATACGTTTGATGTTAGAAGCTTTTGCTGTCCCCCACAGTTCAAGTCCGTATGTCCATATAGGTTTCAGTATTGTCTTGTAGATAAGTAATTTGTTTTCAATAGAAAGTTTGGATTTTCTGTTTAGTAGTCTGTATAGCTGGCCGTATCGTCGGTTGAGTTCTTGTCTTTTGAGTCTAGTATGTGGGTTCCACGTTAGTCTTCGGTCTAAATGAAAGCCAAGATACCGGACTGTGTCTGAGTAAGGAAGCTGGATGGAATTAAAGTGTACTGGTGGACAGGAACTGCGTCGGAGTGTAAAGGTAATATGTTGGCATTTAGATTCATTAACTTTAATGCGCCAGTTATTACACC